CTTGCACAGCATGTTGTGGAGAGCCTCTGTGATGTCAGAAGAGTCATTAGTTCCCAAGATCCTTCTTTGACCAGGAACAGTCACAGATCCACAAGTCACACAGATAGTCATACACTCGGCCATTTTTGTTTAACATTCACGTGATAATCATGTGACACAAATTGTCACAATGACGAAATTGTGACGATCTGAAATCTGATTGGGACTTCTTTTCTTGGTTGCGCGGAACAAGGGCAGGTAAGTCAAAATACCAGACCCTTCCCCGCCGTCCACCCCAATGACTGTAGGCTGGGGAATGGTCTGGGCGGCGAGACTAATCTTATCTTACGTCAGTTGTAGGACCAATTCCATTAATGTCATCATTGAGCTTCACTTGTTTGGTGGTGGGTAAAGTAAGTGAATGTGACTACAAGAAATATATGAACATTATTATCACCATTATTATTATTATTATTATCATCATCATTTTATTATTATTATTATTATCATTACAATTGAGTTTATATCAGATGGTGTGATGGCTGGAGAGCGTGTGGTGAGTGATGAGTCTGGAGTTGTCCCTGACGAAGCTTTTGCTTGATATTTTCTTAACTAAATAATAATGGGAAAGAGGCAAAACATTTAGTACAAATAATATTAAAGGATTTTAAAATAAGATTCTTTGAAGGGAGGGCTCTCACTTTCTTCTTTCCCAGGGCAAGTTTTTCTGTCTTGTCCATCTCAAAGAAATTGGAGGACAACAGTCAGTGTTGAAGAACAAGAATACCCATTCAATTTTAAAATTTACACATTTTAATATTATTTTTATTACGCACAATTAGATAACTTTACGGTCAAGGTCACATTCGAATAATAAGAAAATGTTTCGGTAAAAATAATTTAACCCTTTGCCTTTAACATTATTCACTGCAGGATCAGTGGATCACTTTTGCACCATAATCAATTTATGTACTGTGCTGTGAGGCGTAAGCTGACCAGGCTCAGGGCTAGCTGTTTTTTAAATTACTTATCTTCTTCCTCTGGATCTTTGAGCAAGAAATCCAGCACCAATTATCTTCCTACCATGAGCTCTGGGAGACTGGATACACCTCAATTTAAAAGCCTATTGACTCCTGGTAACGTTATTAGAATTAATGGCTGCAAATTAATTTGTACTCAACTATGTACAATAAATAATGTTGTGACTGATGGGTTTTTTAGTGGTGGGTATTGTGAAATATATTATGATTTTTTATTAATTGGTTAAGGGAGTTTCAGAAATCAGCTATCATATGACTGCAAATTAGGAAATATTTATGTTATTATTATTATTATTATTATTATTGTAACTGATTGGTTTTCATGGAAGAGATGTTTTGATTTTAATATTTAATGGTTGAGGGAGTTTCGGCATACTGCAAATTAGAAAATCTGCTGTACATTTAGTATTCATGTTATTATTATTATTATTATTATTATTATTATTATTATTATTATTATTATTATTATTATTATTTTCTAGATCTTCTAAGAATAGAGGAGTTGTTCAGGTCGGAAGGTTACTCATTGCGTTTGGTTGGTGGAGCCGTCCGTGACCTCCTGCTGGGGAGAAATGCTAAGGATATTGACCTAGCAACAGACTGCACTCCTGATGGAATGATAAAACTGTTTGAGAGAGAAGGAATTAGGTAAGAAACAATATATTATATACATGTATAAAGTGACAGATTAGTACCATATACGCCATATATTTCGTGGGGATTAAATTTCGCGATTGTCTCGTTTTGAAAAAATTTACAAAATTAAAATCCGCAAAATAGTATGCTAATTGTATAGTAGGTGTGGTAATTACATTAAAATCGCGAAATTTTTATTTGCAAATACAAAAATGCAGCCAAATCGTGAAATTTATACCCGCGAAATATATGGCATATACAGAAATTTAACAATGTCTATCATCTTTTACTGTATTAATTTCATTTCGTACGTCCTCATGTATTAAAAATGACAATATGTATTTGAATAATTTTGATAATAATTTTAATAATAATTTTGAAAACTTTTTATAACCATAAACATTAGGTTAATACAATACAATATAATGTCTATAATCTTTTACTGTATTAATTTGATTTAATTTGATTAATTTGATTTAATATGTCATTATGGGGGCAAGCATGAGCTATCGATGCGGCTTAGCTTGACTTTACTGAAATAAAATTAAAATGAATCTAATCTAGCTCTTAGTCTAATGAGAGAGAAAAGAATATTTATCTCTCTAGTCTCTGAGACCATTGCCTGCATGCATATTCAGACCCTGACCTCATGGTCGGGGTCTGAACAGAGCAAATATCATAGATTGTAAAATGAAAATAAAATAAAATGATTCTAATCTAGCTCTTGAGAAAGAAAAGAAGATTCACCTCTCATTTCAAGACCATTATATACCTGCATACATACTCAGACTCCAAAGGGGCCTGAACAGAGCAAATATCACCAATCACCTACTAACAAACCAATAAAAGAGACAAGAAATAGTGCTGTCACTAAGAACCAAAGCTAAACTTTTAGAGTCAAGCTCTTCTCACATTCTTAGTTCTATCGATGAGAGGAGTAATCCAGGAGAGTCTTAGCCTCGGGATCAAAGTGTAAAGGCCGCACAAGCACTGTAGCTCGCCAAAATTACTCTTATAGAGTTTACTTAAGTTTCCAGACTTTACAGAGCTGATGGACTAGCCTTTAGAGATGCTTGAGATAGCTCCTCTCTCTTATCTAGCTGTTAGAAAATGTGAAAGTTTGTCCTGTTTAAACGCCGCCATCTTGTTCATTGTGACCACACCCTCCTACCAACTGTCCCCATTTCAATATTTCTTTTTACACTTTATAAGAGGAGGCATTTTCAGCCAATTTCATAATTAGAAGGTATACAGAATACACATCGCGAGCTCTCAATTGAGACTGGATTTAGAGGGGCTTTACTCATGCTCGCCCCAATAATAATAATAATAACAACAACAATAATAATAAGTCAAGGCGTGAATTCATGATGAGGGCTGCATTATTGTATTATAAATATTTGAATTTACCTGCTGCTTATTTTGTGATTTTTTTCCAATACCTGTAGTGTTAATACAGATTTACTGCTTAGCACTTGAGCTAATTTGTAATAATTTAATATGCAAAATCAATTTTTTGCGAAATCTTTAAAATAGCCAGTTTCCAATAATTGTAATTAATGTTTATACAATATAGCTACTATAAGTTTGTTTTAATAATATACTGGTATGCATGTATGCATACTTGTGACCATGTGTAATTGTATTTAATGAGCCATTTTTAATTAAGACACGAATGCTGTTCTAAAAATATGTCAATAAATTGATACGTAACCGGCAACCAATCAGGTCAACCCACATCATTCTATACATTTATATAC